TGCAGTGTTTCCCTGGCTCCACTGCTGCTCCTGAGGGGGAACAGGCAGAGATTTTTCCCACATGCTTTTTCCACCTTTCCACTTTTTCCGCTTTCCTTTCAGGCACAGGCCTTCTGTTTTTGAATTTGCCCTTCTTGAATCCCTATTCCTCATTTTAGAAAAAAATACTTTAGGCAAGAAGTTTTCTTGCCCTGCTCCTGTGGGATTTGAGTTCTTGAAATACAAATGTGCTAAAATTCAGAATTTGTAGGTGTGCAAATGGTTCTTTTAATTGCTGTGCAATTGCATGGGGAGTAAACACATCAGGGCCTGCAATTAGAGGCTCAGTAAGCAGTTGAAAATGGTTTTGTAATTTTTCAGGTGCATTCCCAAATGCACAGGTATGCCTGTTACAGCACATTCTTATGGCTCTGAAGTGTACAGGGGAAACTGGCTTTGGCATGCACGGGTAGGCTGAATATTTTAGTTCTGGAGACAACAGCACACATGCATATTTTATGTTGAGTACAAATTAGCCATGCAGGATATCAAATGAGTGCCTGAGGGAGGGTGCAGAGTGCTGAAATTAGAGTCTGAATGAAATCTATTTAGTATTAAACCAGTCAAATCCTGAGCTGGCTTCTCCACTGGTGTCAATCAGTCCAGCTCCATTAACTCCAGCGGAGCTGTGCTTCTGTGTCTACTGGGGAAGAGGCCTGCTCTGAATATTTTCAGTAAACACAGCACAGGTCTGTTAAGAGTGGAAAAATGCCTTTCTGCAGAATTTGGGCTGTAAATTCACTCACAATTTATAAATAAGCTTTGTGCCTGGTCTTCCATCCGTCCTGCTGGGGCACTGCCTGTTGTCATGGAGAGCTGCTCAGGGTTTGATGGAAGAGGGAGGATCTGAATGGGAGCCAAGCAGGATTTGGTTGGATGCTGAGCCTCTATCCTGCCAGCTGGCTTTGGAAGTGCATGTCCCTACCATGGGGCAGACCTGCACTTGCTCTTAGAGCATCCTATGAACTTTCCTATCCTTGAATGGCCACAAATTGTGACTTTGGACTCAGAATAAGCCAGAAGACTTAGAAGCTTGGAAGCCATGTTCCTTGTTAGCAGGGCTCTGGGTCCTAAATATGCAAGATTTTTAATCATTGTTTCTGGAAGCCTTGATTAATGAAGATACTTTGCCAAATTGCTTCCTCTGATCTGAAAGTGATGGGTACTTGCAAAATAGCACAGTTTCATTAACTGAATTGAAAAAAGGGAAGGCAACCTGAGCATTATTTCTGTCTGCCAGTTTTAATTACCATGCAGGAGAAAGAGGAGTAAAGATGCAGAAACACATTTGTCTTGTTTGAGTTTGATGATCTTTCAAAATAGAGACCATCAAGCTTTCTGGGAGGAGGCAGAATGTGTCCTCACAGAAATATAAAACAACTTCTCTGTCATTAGAATACGAGGGACTTTGGATGTTTATGCTCTAGTGACTTAGCTCAGCATTGGGAAAGAATTGAATTGTTAGATTGACTACTAATTCTTTTAGGTTTTATTTTTGGCTGGTTTCTCAAAATCAGGACAGAAATCTTTGCCCCCCAGCACACAACCTCTCACCCGTGTCTAGTTCACTCATGTCATGAACACCATGGGTTCCCTCATCCTAAGCAACAGCAAACAGCAGCAACTCCTGAATAGTTTACCTCACATTGTTGGAGGTGTAAATACTCCCATTTCATTAGAGGCAGGTAAGGAATAAATTGTAACTCTTTTCCAATCTGTGGTTATGGTTATTCTTGAAGTGCCAGCTGAAAAAAGCCCCCTGTGAATAGAGCAGCAGCATCTTCCACAGAGTGCATTACAGACATCTACTCTTGCAATTAATGACATTAGTTATTGAGGTAAGATAATCCTGATGGTGCCAGTGAAATCAGCTGAGGATTTTTGTTCTTTATTGTCTGACCTGCAGGCTTGCTCTCTGCTGGAGCACCTGCAAGGTCCATTGGCAGAAGGGGAAGAAGCATGTGGTGTTTAAAACAGAAGACTATCCACTGGCAAATAGAGAAATAATGTGGTATTTGAAGTATTAGAATAATAATGAATTGAAATTAACCTTTTTAGCTAAATATTTGCAGATCATTAATATTATACACATCACCAATTACCACTTCTCAGAGAAGGGGTTTGAACCTCCCAAGAAAGTCTAATTTGGTTTCTTGCACCTTATTTTCTACAGTAGGATAGTAGAAACATCTGACATGCCATGAAAATTTTTATTTTAAGAGTCATTCCTTCCACATGGCCAAAAGTCTCAATGCCCAGGAATTCTCTTAACTGATCACTTATATGCTCTGTAATTTGTTCATGGAGAACTCTTCATATTTTGCATATAGGCAGTGTCTTTGTATTGACATAGGCTTAAAACATAACTTATCTTAAACAGATATAATTCCTACATGTCATTTATCTAATTGTATCATTGCAAGAACTTTCTGTGAATACTCAGCACTCAGGAGAGCCCAGACCTTGCCTGTCTCTTTCCAGCACCCTCCTGGAGATTTTTAATCAGAGACTTGGATGTACTATTGAAGGGAGGAAACATTTTGATCAAATAATCTCTCAAATCAATAAACCCTACAGATTTATTGCTCTGATCCACATGCAATGTTATAGCAATATCTACTAAGCAGGATGTATAACTCTGTACAGAATCAAAATTCAACTAATTTCAGAAAGTAAAAAGGAGTTAAGGGCAGGATTCACTTAATCTTGACATTTACTGGATTATACTTCCAATAAGAAATTTTGAGTATTTAATAAATATATTTTTGGGTTTCTTTGCTTACTAGTATTGCCCTTAGGCATTTAAATAGTCACCATCTTTAGTCTTTTACAGATACAGTTCCTACAAACAAACCTGAAAATCCATATATTGAGAACTTTTTTTCCCCTCTTGTCTCTGTTTATTCTAAAAGCTTTAAGGATGTGGTATATGTAATATTCAGTTAGATATAAATCAGTCTAACAGTAATTTCTGATAACAATGCTTTAGAAATTATTCTTAAAAAAAGGAAAAAGAAAATATGAACAAAAGGATAGTAGAGAAGCTTCCTGTTTTGGAGGGATCACAATAATGACTAATAAATGCTACCAGTAAGCTGGGAGAGTTCCAGCTAGAACTTCCTGCCTTTCTCAGTTTGGAAGTTTGTGTATTACACTTGGGATTTTCCAAATATTTCCTGAGCTTGAGTAATCTTAGAATGGATTTTCAGAACAAACAGGTCCCACCCCTGCAAGAGCTGGGGCAGTTGATGTTTTTATGAGGAATTAGAGCTGCTGCACTTTTATGAGTGTGGGATCTCATCAACATATCTCAATATAACAGGCAATTCTGGGCAATACAGGTGTACCAGTTCATACATTTTCTGGAAACAAACTGCCTAATTTAATTTTACGTATAAAAAATCTTTTTGTGAGGTGCATTTTATTTAGCAACTCTTCTAGGCTGAATGTTGCTGTAGGGCTTTCAGGTTTATGTCAAGAAAAAGTTGAATTCGAATATTTGACCTAGTGCCCTATATCTTTATAACTGCTTCTTTCATTCCCTGCCCCACCTCAGCTCTCTTCCAATGCTAGAACGAGAAATTCTAGAATAAAATCCCTAAACATTATATTTTATTAAATGTCATACACAAAGAAAAGTTTAAAAACCTGTGGATTTCATAATTGTCTTTGTTTTTCAAATATTAGCAGGTGGCAAAACAGAATTTTTTTCCCTATCATGAGACTAATTGTTTTAATCCATGTAGTGTCTTGACTGTCTTTTTCTCCTTGACAGAACCAAAGGCAATAAGATAGTAATATCTAATAAAAAGGTGTTTTAAGTTTAAGCCTTTATTCAGCATCCTCTACTTGTTGGAAGCAGGTTTTGATTTTCTTAAACGTTTATGAGAATATTTAACCTCAGGTAGCTGCTGAGAAGGTAGGAAAGTAAAACAGGATCTTATATGTGTAATGAACAGCACTTCAGCAACAAAATCCCAGTGCCCAGAAAGGAGTGTGGATCCTGAGAAGCCACCTGGGTGAGGTCTGTGGGGTTGGAGGGGCCTTAAAGTGCCATGAGGAAAAAGAATAAGCTGGAAAATAAATAGTACAAAGACCTTGGTGGTGTAAAAGTGAGCTAGAGAAGGCACACTTCTGAGGAAAATAAAACCAACACTTTTTTGGTGTTACATTTGAGAATATAACCCAGTCAGGAAATATGAATATTTCACAGCCATTTTGCTCTCCACACTAATTTTCCTTCAGCTGTACTATTTTTGGTGCTGTTACAGCCATCTACATAGGATGCTTCTAATTTTCACCTTAATGTGGATATTTTTTATTTGGAATTACTGGCTCTTATTTTTCCTCTCTTTGCCTGTGTGCATTTGGAGGTGAAATATCTTGCTTGGTGTGAGGTTGCTCTTGTATCACAGCTGGGAGTCAGGAGCTGGGTTCATTTTCCTGAGCAATACACAACAGTTATGTTTTGCTCCTTGGAGGGATATCACAGGCTGTGGAGAAACTGAGACGTAACCACAGGCATAAAGAACGAAAAAAGGGAGAGAGGCAGCTGTAAATGCAATGCTGTTGAATGACACCAGAGTATTCTGGGAACAAGGTAGTTTTAATGTATTAGTAAGGCTGATAAAGACTCAGAAGTTGGTCATTTCAAGATCTTCAAATTCAAAGTGCCTTAGGCAAATTTACTTTAATTTGCTCTGGTGTATATCCATGCCTGTACACAGAGCAGTAATAAAACCAGAGTAACTCTTGTTTCAGTGTGTCATTTAATATGGTTCCTGGCTGTCGGGGGAATTCAGAGTAAAATCTTTTTCTGGCTTCCAGAACAAAGGCAGAATCATTCTGTGCCATCAGCAGAACCCCAGCCCCCTTAAGGCCATCATTCAGGGTTAAAAGGAAAACAAGAAAATACTCTTTTTTCCCTTGTAGGTAATAATTAGTGCACTTGTTTTTTTCAGATGGTTCCAGCTTGGGGGGATGAAGGCTCTTGCACTTCTTTGGCTCTTGGCGCTCTAAATTTGCCACTCCTGAAAAAAGAAGCTTGGAAATCTCTCTTGGAAATCCTGGCTAAATAATGCCTGTATTTTTTCTGCATCCAACTTTCCAGACAACTCAGTGCAATATCACACTTTAGAAATAACTATTTTCTTAAATTGATCGGAATCATTGTATCTCCATTGGATTTTTGGTACTGGTGTTAATACTGGAGAGACTAAATTTACTTTATGGCTACTGTTTTTTTTTTCTCATGGTTTTTAGCTGCTGGTGGTTATAACCCTTGTTTCACTTTTCACTAAAAACATGCCTCTGTTTTTTTTGCATCCTACAGAGTGGGTGCAGTGAAAAGCTGAAAATTGTTTCTCTTTAGAGGTCTGGATCCATAAGCCCTCTGAATCCAGCACAAAGCTTCAGCTGGCTTTGTACTTTTCCCACACTTGTTCAGAGATAATTTTTTCTCTCTCTCTCCATTATTATTATTATTATTATTATTATTATTATTATTATTATTATTATTATTATTATTATTTTGCTGTTACTTTCTGTGATTTTGTGCTACAGTATGATTCCATGGCAGTGTTGAGCTTCTGACAGTTCTAGAGAGTGTGGTGCTCTGAGTAGGCCATTTAGGCTTGCTGAGTGTGAGCAAAGTGCCTCCAGGATCCTCAGTATTCTCTCAAAATAAAAGGCATAAGGAAGTTTTTCTGGCTGGGATTTTAATTAAATAATAGAAAAAAAAAATATTATGCAGTAGCATAACTTTTGAGTAATTTGTACTCAAATTAATGAGAAAACTGAGATGTGAATATTTGCTATGGGTGGAGAGATAGCATGGACCAGGGCAGCAAAGAGGGAGTGATTTCCTGAAAATAGTTGGAAAATGCAGTCTTCTTTACACAAATTTAAAAAATAAAGATGAAAACAAATGTATGGAGGTGAGAGAGCGGAGGAAAGACAGCCCAGTCCTGTCACTGAGTTGGTGTCCTGGTTTGGGGAGTCTGTGCAACTGCTGAGCTGTCAGAAGTCTGTCCTGCACCAGTTTTTATTCCCACTGAACTGATAGTATCTAAAATATGAGAAATATAATGCGAAACAAAACCCCAAGCAAATTCCAAAACCCCCAGAAAGCTTTTGACAAAGCACGGTAAAAAAGGGCATTCAGCACTTTCAAGCCCTTTCTCCTGGTCAAACAACAACAATGCAAATGCAACAGCTGAATGAGTGTTAACTGATGGAAATGATTTGTCACGTCCTTCTCTAGTCACCCACAGGGGTAGTAACAACTTGGTTGTCAGAGTGGGTGAACACTCCATGTTCTCCATGCTTCTATGCCCATAAGGGAATAGAAATAACACTACAAATCAAGATGTTGTATTCTATATATGGAGCACATTTTGAGTAATACATTTATTTTGGAGAGGCTCCCACTGTTTTTAGCTCTGGATAAAAAATGGGTGCTGGTTCAGTGTCCCTTCTGGCAGATTGCATGTGAGCCATACAGTCAAGGATGGACCTGTGGCAGATCATTGATTAAAAGGCTGACTTCTCATGTTGTTAAATGTATGATCTGATTAAAGGTCTTAGTTCAGAAAATAGTGTGGGTTTTTTTTCCTTAATGAAGTAAGTAATTTTAATATAAACTGGGTACAGTAGCCCTATAAATAATTTAAGATTATCAGAATTTGGAGTTATTTCAGAATATATTGAGTTTAACTTCTTTTAAAGACCAAAGTTTTATTGTGGAATAGATTCAGTAAGCCTAAATCTGTATTCTGAGTTAACAACCCAGAGACTGTTGCATATCTGAACTGCAAAGGTTCTTACACTCTTCAGCAAATTTGGTATGGGCTCTAACCTACAGCTTTATAACCATAAAATATTTTAAATAAACTCCATGAAAATATTTGTAGGGTTTCTCCTGCTAATCGTTGTGGCTGCTGTCACACTGCAGCTGATAAAGTAAGGGCAATTTAATGGTAAAATATCTATATATATAGATAGATATGTATATGCACATGGGCGTCAGAGGTCAGAAGGGGACCTCAGGAAGTTTCTAATCCAACCTTCATCTGAAAGAAAGGCCAGTAAGATTGGAATAAGTTGCAATTTGATCTTGAAAGCATCCAAGAATAGGGTGTACAACTTCTCTGGGCAACCTCTGCCACTTCTGGATTTTTTTCTCCATGGAATGGAAAAGCTTAAGTGCATTTTCAGTTTTGCTAAGTTAGGTACAGACTTTTATCTAATTCGATTGGCACAGAACTCTGGGCTATTTACAATATACACCCTGACTTTGTCATGTGCTTTATCAGGCACTGGAACTGCACACAGTCCTTCAGACAACTGAAAGTAAATCTCTTGCTGAATGCCATTAACTCCTCTTGATTTGTCTTAGCAGCTGAAGATGCTCTTTTTTCCACATTCCACTGAATTATTAAGGTGATTATTTTTTTTTAAATTCAGTGTCCTTATAAATCAGAAAGGTCTGCTCAGCAAGAGAAATCTTTCCTTTTAGTCTCAGATTTGATCAATGCCATGTTCCTTGGGGTACAGTTTTGTTTGACATTTCACACTGTCATGCTGCATATCAAACAAAAAAACTGCATCTACTACTTAAAAAGTTGACTGTTGTGGGTTTTTATACCTTTTGATGTTTACTTGTACAGAAAACACAGGATGGTCTGTGTTTTGACACTGAGAGCTTCCAGCACAGTGCAGGCACTGGAGTGGAAGCCTCTCAGTCTCAACCATGCTCTTTGTGTTTGTAAAAAACAGATTTGACCTCTCCTCCCTAGCACTTAATCCAATATCCACGTCAATTTAAGATGCCCATTGGCAAAAATCTTTATCAAGCAGTGGTTATGTGATTTGTGTAAAGTTTTGATCTGCTTATTTTTTTCTAAAGACTGTGTTGATAAATTTCATATGAAAAATGAATAAATTGATGGCTGGAGTAAGTAGATACAACTGGCTGGATCTGGAGGCATGCCTAAACAGGCACATACGCAACTCAAGAAATGGATCTTTCTTTGTGTGTTCTTATGGATGGATGGATGAATAAAGTGCAACTTTAATTTCAATTTTGATGCTAAATTTGTAATGTAACAGAGAATTTATCTGTGCAATCAAGCATGTCTTGAGTGAGTGGTCTATAAGTAGCTGCGTTTTCAACTGTGGGGATTTTAATTTTTTTTTTCCTCATACAATTCTTGATTTCCAACTCTAACTGCAACTGCTACTCTTGGCAAGCCTACTCAAAAAAATCAGTTCAGCAGAAATTCAAGCTCACTCTTTTGCCAGTATCTTTCATAAAACCTCAAAAGGTTTTAAGTATTCTTATGGTCAGTTCCTGTGTGCCTCCCTTCTGTGTTAGCACACATATGCTTTAATTGCATCCTTATTCAAAATAGGCAGCCTCACCCTTCTGTCAAACAATCTGTACTCATGAGATGGAAGAGATACTGAAGTGGAACATGGAGCTTGAAAGCCCCACAATCTTTGCCCAAGGAAGGGATCCTTAGGGGAAGGGGGATGTTCCTCTTTATGAAGCCAAGAATTGCAGGCCTTTATGAGGGAAGATGAGAAAAATGAAGCTCCTCATTGTTTCTTATGATTTTTCAGTATTTCACAGTTTTTCTCTTGTGCAAACAAAAAGAATCTCTGGGGTTTAGTTAGATCACACATGGGTAGTTTTTATATCCAGGTACAGAAATACACACATTAAGGAGGGTGTTTAATATTAAAAGGTCACATATCTGGAAATAGTCTGGTCTAAATATATATGTATAAAAACTGATTCATTGCTGCATAATTCTAGTTTTGAAGTCAGTTGATTTCAATGTATTTTGGGACTGAAGTAATACAAGAGTGAATCAGTTCCATAATTATTTTGGGAAAGAATGATATGCTAGTAGTTCTGGGGAATATTTTTTCTGTGCAAATCATTACTGCTTAAGGAGGGAAACCATACCTTCCTTCATATGTCTAAATTAATTTCATCTTGCATATGGAAATATGTTTCTTTTTAGGTTTGATTAGGGAAAGTTTTTTTTCCCCCTTTTTTAAATGGCAGATGTCTCAGATGAGTAAGAGAATGTTATGAGCAAGAGTCCTAAAAAAATCAGATTATCGTAAGAAAGAGGAACTGAAAGTGTGAAAAAACCCAGTTACTTATTCACATCTCTAAATTTAACTTATTAAAAAAATAAGATTTTTTTACCACCTTTGACAACTGAAGCTGTAAATCAAAAAGAAATAATCAAGTTCTTAGCATTTTCTTAGTAACAAAGAAGAGAGGGTAACATTTTGGGTGTAAGGTAATCAAACATAATACTGGCTGATAGTGAGGGAGAAATTTAAGTAGCTATCTTAATTGCTATGGAAACCCTGGCCTTAAGGCAGCTTGCAGGGTATTTGTTGAGGTTGTAGGTTCAAAATATTTTTTTTTTTTGTCAGTCTTCATTAAGGTGTAAAAATTGCAGTAATAGATGTGTTATATGCAGTTCTTTAATTAGCTGAGAAATACATGTTGATAAGTACGTGGTAACATAGTTGTCAAAAAATCTTAAAGGTCTGAAATATTATTTAGGGTTTTTGTTTAAATTAACTGGGATGGATAGACAAGTATTAACAAAAACTTAAAGAAAAAAAAAGGCTGCAAATATATTCATGTTGCAAAGAGAAATATTGGAACACTAATGGGGTCTTGTCAGCTAAATATTATTACTGAGTATCCACACAGAAATGTAAAATCTTCTGTTTTATTGATTAAAACCTAGTGAAACTGTGTGAAAAGACAGATGTTTCAGGAAAAAATGAGGAAGAATCCATGATTAATTGCTGCTAGAATATATTTGTGGTTAATGTAAATCTACCAAGTACCAAAGTACCACAATCTGTTTACCACAGAATTTCAAAGGTGCGTCTCTGCTTACAAGAAGCACTCAATTGTGGTCAGCTTAAAATTCATGTCAGACAGGTGGCTGCCCAGACTTTAGCAGGTCTGGAAAGAAGTTCTGCCAGTATTGTTTTATTCACAGAGAGAAAGAGCATCCTGCTGGAGCTCCAGTCTGAAAAGGCAAAAGAAATTATGGAATTATGTTCTCAGCATACAGAAAACACTGGTAGGAATGTGGCACCAAGGAAAGTGGCAGAAGACTATAGAGAAATTATTTTCCTCTTGCAAATGGAGGCACGTAATAAAATAGAATATGTGGAAATAAAAGGAGGAGATAGTTTCAGATGAAGAAATCTGAGAGTAGAAGGGTTTCTGGGGACCTCTTTTGTCTAGAGATGTCCTGAGAACTATTGATGATGGACAAAAACAATCACTCTGAACCTTGACTGGATGTGAAGAGTCAGATGAACTTTTCCCACATGATGCTGCTAGCATTTATATAAGGATTTTTTACACAGTAACAAAATAGACTCTTAAAGCCTGACCTTGTTAGTCTCTGCCTGTGCA